ATATAACACATTCACCGTGAATTAATTTCCTTTGATCCGTTCTAAAAAGTTGGTGTCAGGTATTCTGTTTAGAATAGATTTTATCAATTGAAATATTGTACATACCTATATAAACACTTGAGCAATAATGAGTGAGCTGCTGCCCCTCCCGACCTGGATGATAACTTAGTTGTTAAGATTCCTTTATATTTGTTAGCTTTGAAAAGATTTCACTTGTAATCTTTGATTAAAAATCTATGATCATACATTTATAAATATTCTTCTGGGAGCCAGTGTTTCAGGTGAAGGAGTCTTGGGTTTAGTCCAGTATTGTGGCCACATCTCCCGATGGTTAACCTTTGGCATGTGAGAGACGGGGATTCTTGGGGACCTTACGTGATGGGAAATACTGTACCTCTGATTCTCTGCTGCGGATAACCAATCTTCATCTCTTCATCCCTTCTTGGTGTAATAATTGTGATCTCCCATTTTAAGATGTTCCAGTAAAAAGGAAACAGAAAAGAGAACAAAGAACCAGCAGAAATGGATATAATAAAACATCCATTGCTGGATGGTAAATATTTCAAGATCATCTCCCAGAGTGGCCATAAAATCAGATGCATCTGCATGTTGTGCCCTCACAAGATTATTGCAGCTTCTCTATCTACCACATCAAACCTACACACACACTTGAAGGTCAGTGCAGAAATTGGTTATTCCAGTTAAACTCTGCTTAGTAAGACAATACTGAATCAGGCAACCAGAATGTAAGATTAGTTTGAATGAAGTGGCTCCAGAATCACTTGGTAGGTTAAAAGGGACTTGGCAGTAAAAGGAGAAATTAAAACATATAATACTATTTTTTGGCCATCCTCCTGTAGCACATTTTATGACAATGTTTTCAGATTGAATTTTAGAGTTTAGTTTTTTCTCTGATGTCATAGTTATATTCTTCAATGAAAAAGTTAAGTTTATGAATACTGAATAGTTAAATAGATAATTTGTTTTTGTTTTTTGTAATTATTAATACCACAGGAATATCCATAAAATCTAGAATTGCAGTGAAAGGTTATAAGTCAAAAGAGTCAGTTGGTATTTTACTTTGTTTCCAGCGAGCACATCCTGGATTAAAAGATGAAGTGCTGCAGTATGTGGCCGACCAGCGATTGCTTCACAAACTAAGGCGAGTTGATAATGAAATCCAGTCACTGTCTACTGAGATGCCAGAGCAGGGTACAGATGCAGCAAATATATCTTGTGGAAACATTGACAAGCTTATGCTGGAGGATGTTTCCTCGGTAAAAAGACCCTGTGTTGTAGTGGGGATGGATCCTTTACCAACTGTGGAGCAGATTGACTGTATAAATCATGTTCAGAGTAAGTCTTGTTTATTTTGAAAAGCTAATCTCTTGCTGTCCGAATCACACTACAGTACGGGATAAATGATTAGCTTTATTATATGTGGTCAGTTTATCTTACACTACAGGTACCTGCAGTAAGAAAGTTGGTTAAAGTAACTTGTGGTTATACATGATTGTGTTTTGTAATACTGTACATATAAAACACGAGTGGTTCAGTTATTGAGGATACCAGTTTTATAGTTGAGGATCATTAATACAGTTAAGGGTTGTTCTACTTGTAACTTATCTTGACAGTGATTAAGCTGTATTACTGTAACCATGTCATGTAACTATGGATGCTTCACCATGATGTATTTGGATATGTATTTACCGTAAATATATTTTCAAAGTAAAGTACTTAGTATTGATTACAATCCTTGCTTCTGTTGACCGTTCAAAATACATTCAAATGTATTTACACTAATCTCTGTGTATCAGTGCTTTTATCCTCTGCCTGCATATGTGCAACCATTACTGAACTATGATATGTCTGATTTTTGCAGGGATGGCTTATTGCACAGTATGTACTTCAGTTTGTCAATGTTCAGTGACTTATTCATGTTGAAATCAAATATGATCCACCGAATTATTGTTTGAATTTGTTGGAGAGGATGGCATGGAGTGATATTGTTTGGGGATGTGTGTTTGTGTCGGTGGCTCATGTTGTGGTGTTGGCAGGGCTAGACGATCTTGTTACCTGTGAAGTTGTAAATGTGTTTGTGAGTGCATGATCCAGAGAGTTAATAGGATAAGTAAATACTAATATTTTTGTGCTCTAAGACCTTGGTTGCTGAAGTGCAGTATAACATAGTAACATCAATGAGTGTAGGGGTGTGTTAAACATGAGTGTAGAGGGTGCATTAATCATGAGTATAGGAGCGTGTTAAACATGAGTGTTCGGGTGTGTTTAACATGAGTGTTGGGGTGTGTTAAAGTGTGGTAAACACGAGTGTTGGGGTGCATTAAACACGAGTGTTAAGGTGTGTTAAACATGTGCGTTGGGGTGCGTTAAACACGAGTGTTAAGGTGTGTTAAACATGTGCGTTGGGGTGCGTTAAACATGAGTGTTGGGGTGCGTTTAACCATGGATCAACCACTTAGGCTGGGATTCATCTGATAGTTTGTCTTATTGTAAATCATTGAGCATATTTTAATAATTCCCATTTTATGATGGAGAGATCTGGTCATGTTTGGAAAGTAGCTGTTCATATTTTTATTTTGCTGCAGTTGCTAGTTGATAACAAGATGGCTTTGTCTTGGGGCACAGCAAGCTGTTGTTGCCTAATTGTAAGTTGAGTCTCCTGTCAATCGGTATTTTGGAATTCTGGATTCAATCTGCTATTTATACATGAGAAATGATAGTCCCAACTGAATTCAAGATTTATACAGTACAGTATTAGAAGAATTAGATTTGTTACTGAGAAATTTGACTTAATTTCTGTGTAAATGAGTTCACCAGGAGGCTGTAGACATGATCACGGCTCTGTCCATGAAAGAGATTTGCCTAATAACAACCTGTTGAGGTATCATTAAGGCTCTTATTATTGGGTATTTGTAGATGATTTTAGGGTTATGGGAGGAACTCCTCATTCCTGGACGAGATGCTTTCAGCATAGTTTGTAGTACATTACTGTATGTGTAAACCCCCAGCCAGTTTACCTACTGCTCGTACACTGTTGTAGTGCATCACATCAGTTGGGTTCTTAAGATTTTAGGTCATATTGTTAAGATTCAAATTGTGTGACATAAGGAGGAGTCTTTGACGATGCAGAAAAGAATGGCAAATTAGATTTGTTTTGGGATTTACAGTTTGAAATATGATACTGTACCAGTTTGTAGGACTTGGTGTGATGCAGGATACTGTATGGCTTTGAATAGCTTCTGTGGATTACATTACTTATTATACTAGTTGTATATTGACTAATTCAGCAACTGCCTCCTGGGGTCATTACCATTCAAAAATTTCACATGAACTTGTGTCTGATTCACAGAACTATGAGTAGGTGTAATATTACAGCGAGAGCCACGCTTTGCCGCTCGGTATCAGGAGTTAATGTCCCACCTTTTCCCCACTGTTGCATTTCCATTATAATTTGTATCAAATCAACAGTCGACAGTGAGTTTGTCGTGAAGCGTCGTAACACCTCAAATGCAAACTGGTAGTTCAGTAGCGTGTACGCTAGCAAAGAGTGTCGGCAGAATGTGCATGTTTCACCACAGTGGTATGCCAGTAATCAAATTGGCTGTGAACACGTTTATATTCTCAGAAGAAGAATATATAAGGATATGCTGTTCGTGTACAGGGTATGTAATGGAAGCGACTGCTGCCGTTGAAGAATATTGGCCATGTTTTCCGGCACAGAAAAATCCCTGATCGGTATGTGTTGTTTTCTAACGTTTATTGACATATGTGGGGAAAATGGGTCCTTTCCCAGTATGGTAATGGCCACTGATCTTCCTGAATGATGAAATGCAGATCAAGAAAACATCTTTCTCATGGTACAACTCGCTCTACACACTAGTACAATCCCCGGAAAATGTCTGGCTGTCTCTGTATTCTGCACACGACAATTTGGTGAAAATTACACACTGTAGGACTGTATTCCTATCACATTCAGTGAGTTCAACACTTGAAACCTCAGAACATGTTTTAGCAGCTGCTGTTCTGATGGTGGTTTGATACCTCACTTTTGTAACTGAATTTTATTCTCCACCGAGGCACAGTGTACCCCGACGTAGTAAACAATTCCGGCAACTCACATACGGCCACATGACAACCCAGATGGAACAGTAGAAAGTAATTACCAGTATTGTTTTTGTGCAAATGATGGTCTGGCACCATTGACAACAAGCTAATTGGAGCATTCATGTTAAAGGAACATCTGAGAGGTGGAATTTGCGCCAGGTTTGTGGAACATTAGTTGCCGTCCCTGTTGGAGGACGCTTTTCTGCTAACACGTGCACGAATGTACTTCCAGCATGATGGAGCGCTCCCACATTTAAGTATTGTAGACTCGTGACTTATCACATGTTCCCCGATCGATGGTTTGGCCGGGGCATTCCGCAGTTGGCCACATGAAGGACATGGTGCGTGCTTGCAAGACAGACACTTGAATTGAACTACTTCATTGAATATTTGATGCTTGAGATTCCTCGTTGGCTTATACAGTCCATGGTCAAACGATAAAGGATGTGTGTGTGTGCGTGTGCAAGCTCTAGGCAGCCATGTTGAACAATTATTACAGTGAGCAGTGCTAAGCCACTATACAAACTGTACAATGTCAGAATATGTTATAATTTAATAAACACAGGTAGCCTCATATTGTTCATATCTTTTACTTATTCTTACATCTACCAGGTGTTTTGTTACCATTGAGAGCCACACCCACACTCCTATAATGTTTAGGAATGATAATGATCTCGGGAATCAGCTGCTAAGTTTTTGACATGTGATGCCCCGTATACAATATATAATGTTACCATACAGTACAGTACAAAACAATAATTTAAGATGATGCCGCAGTGAATTGGTACAAGTAGTTTGCTGTTGTTAATCCAAAAAAACAGAATCATTTATAACCATGAATTCATTATTTATCAATATGTGTGTACTTCTTGCAGATGCTGTGAATTTTGGTGACGTTGATATTGACTATGAAGAATTATCCGACGCTCCTCCAGTCAGTGAGACATTGGATTCGAGCCAAGTATATCCCACCTCCAGTACTGCCTCACCACCAAACAGCGGTAGGAGAATTTGATGAGTTGGTATTTAAGAATTATGTTTAATAACCTGATGCCTGGCAGAGTTTCTTGCTCCCAGTACCTCTGTCAGTTTGAGAAGTGACAAATATATTACACCTCATACATTTGGCTTGTCTGTGTTTGTTGCCTCTCTTGAGTACAGTAACAAGGCTTTATGGAGAACATACTAGTCCTATGTTATTGCAATATGGTGAATAATATATCTTATGAGTCCTATGTCTGTAGGTAACTGCTTTTTACAAGATATTTCTCTACCACAGAACAACTGTATCGCGTCCACTATCAGGATCATGTTTCAACGATACTTGCCGCCCTCGCCAAGGATGAAGTGTTTATGGATGTGACTCTTATTGCTGAAGGTCGACCCATCAAAGCTCACAAGGTTAGTCAGATTGTTGTAAATACTTATTCTGTAAATTATAAGTTACTGTGTAACCCCCATTTTAAGTTGACCTTGATCATGACAATAATGTATTTCCCTTCGATTCTTGGCACATTAATGTTCAGTCACTTAAAACACATTATTATTAAAGTTACTTCAACACACCACCACCATAATACCCCAACACACCACCATCTCCTCCTTGGTGTTCGAGGACGTATACAGTAAGGTACTTCCTCTTGACTGAAGGGGTTAAGGGGGGGAGTTACTTGTGTGTTGTAGGATGGTGTGGGGCATCATTGGAAGAAGGTGGCAGATTGACTCCATTTTCAGTGGTTGTGGGCCAGTTGATAAAATTTGTTCCATGTTATAATGACAGTAAACATAACCTCTCCCCCTCCCCCCTCCCCTTTTTTTTTCTCTTATTAAAACTCTTCAGTAATCATTAGAACTGGCCTCTTATGCTTATTAAAAAAAAAGATATAAGAAAATATATGGGCTTTTGCTCAAAATCTCAATACAGTATGTGTACACCTGTACTCCTGAACATGCTGATTAAGGATCTGTTGTATGCATTTTGATATCTGTTAAATTACTTGTCCAAATGACATCTCAAAATTTTTTATTACTTAGTAAAAGATGTTAATAAGTCGAATAAAACAAAATTAAGTAGAATTAAACAAAATTGTTCCCCAAAGATTGAAGATACAGTACAGCACACTGATATATAGAACAACACTACAGTCTCTGTAGTGACCTAACTTGACCTGAGTTCAGTAGTGCAGGTTAGCAGGTCATAATCATCCTCGTGGTTATTGGTTGCTTAGTTTTGTATTACCTTTATAGGGTAATTTGTAGAGATAATATTTTGGTTCTTAGTAAGTAACTTGGTCTGGCTTGGTAAGATGGTGTAAAATTTTAGTCGCGGCAAAGGAGCGAGTTGATGTATAACTGTGATCTATTGTGACTCAGTTGCCCTTAGTCTTCAATGACAACACCTGTCTCGTTGGGAAACTGTTTAAAATACTAATGGGAGCAAGTTGTAGGTACAGGGGTGACAGTGTGCACCACCCTTTATGAGTTGTGTCAGCATAGACCAGAGGTTTGGCTGACAGTGTGATCACTCACTTCAGCCTCAGCCATAAAATGTGATTTTTAAGAATCTTTTTATATTTCTAATATGAACCCCAAAATTTAAGTCATCGTCAATAATCGATGAATGATACATATTTTAATTGCATTTATTTTATCTTGAAAAGGTAGAGAAAATTAATATTCCTCTGATTTGTATCATTATCAGTACTTAGTGCTATTTAAAATGTTGAAGACAATCATACTAGCTTTACCGCCTCACCATTATCAGTCCAGTGGTTTTACTTTTAGCTGAACAAAAATTTAACTGCGCGTTTTGCTAACTTGTAAATGTTGGTGATACTTAAACTTTACTTATACTGTATGTTGTATTTGTTATGTGGTAACCTCATATTACCTTTGATTGTTTTGATTGCTCTTCTTATTTTTATTGCAGTCTGTGCTGTCAGCGATGAGTCTTTACTTTCACGATGTGCTGCGAGATAATCCCTGTCAACATCCAATCATTATTCTGCCTCATGATGTCCTCTATGAAGAACTTGTTGATCTTGTAACTTATATTTATAAGTAAGTTCAATACAGTATCTCATAACTGCTTGTGAGGTAGCTGTTAGAATTAACTATGAGAGTCAGGTCATGAGAAAACACTTCCTCAAGAATACAATTGTGTAGTTAAAATGATTATTGCACAAGTTTTTGGTGGCAAGAACATAAATTGCTGCTGGGATAAACAAACAAAAATATATTATCAATCCTTCATGTGCTCTATAACCCTAACCAGCTTATTATACTCTCATCTGTTGGGCATAACCCTCCCATTCATAACCTACCTTATCATGGAGTGTAATGATCACCCAGCTGTGAATGAGTACCTAAATTTACTGTGAATTTGAGTGCAGTGTTGGGCTTTATGTGGATTGAAGGCTGAGTTCAGTTTACAGTCTGTTGTATTCACACCACCTAATGGGTCATCAGCCCTATGGTTCTGTCAGGCTGTACATCTCTAGTACCTCTCCATCATAGCTCTGACCCTCTACTCTTCTGTATGGGTTGGAACAGCTACTCCATCATGCTGACAACAACCCACACATGAACATTCCTTAACCAATATCAATGTTTTCTTGCCACTTGTTAGCTTTCTGTGCATTACTGTATCATTAACACACTTTTTTTATTTACATTTTTGTTAGGCACAGCTTCCAAAAATCTAAATTCCTTTACAATATATATTCTGCAACTATTCAGACACTGGGATGATCTTTCTCTCTCAAACCCCATGTACAGTATAGTGTATAATTGTTTTTATTTCTTGCATACATTTACCTTAATAACTTTAAAGTAAACATTTGAATTTATACTGTTAATCTTTTTGTTTCTGCTGGCGGCACATATCCACACATTACTATTCCTTGATAATGATGCACATCAAATCCATTCTGCTTTATTATTTAGAAAACTATGAGAAAGATTAGTTGAAGTTCATTTAATTTACTAAAGCAAAGTACTGTCTAACATCTATTTTTAGTGTGTGGCATTATTACTCAAGTAGATGATGTGTTTTGTTATTAGATTTGAATGAAGAGAAGAAAAATATGTAATGAACTGTCAAGTGTCAGTGTTGGGTACTAAGATGTAAAATTTGTATTCCAGAGGTGAGATTACTGTGGCATTAGATAAGGTGTCGTCAGTGCTGAGAGTCGCAAAGATTCTTCAGATTAACGGAATGGCCTCGGTCAGCTCTGTCTCTGTGGATGGCTCCTCAGATGCTCATTATACTACATCACCAGAAACTAAACCTTTCAAAAATACTTCACAAGGGTTTAGGCCACAAAACATTCTCTCACGAGTGACTAGTCAGAATAACTCGGCTCAAGTAGACCATAAAAGTAATTTAGGAAGACCTGTAAAGAGAAAACAGCATCATGTTACCACTACACCAAGTCATCAAACTGATTTGTCAGTAACACAAAATGTAACCAAGTGTAAAAAATTCTCAAACAAACAAAACACATCGTCACTACGGTCGCACCCACAGACATTTTCTTCCACGTTGACAAATGTTTCTCCACCAGCGGCCAGTTTATCTAATAACTCGTTGACACTCACCAACGTAATGTATGAAGTTTCCTCGGTGGGCGGCACTCTGGTGAATGAGTCAGAAAGTATTCCAGGATTCTCGGAGACAACACCAGGGGACTCGGTTGTCATCCGCACAGCAAATAAAAGAACATTACCACCAGAAACTGACAGTTCAGCAACAGATCCACGGGCCAGCCACAACACGAACATGGATATGGCCTTTGTCGATATTGGAAATATTAAAGAGGTAAGTTTGTTGATTTTTATTTTATTTATTTTATTTTTGTGAATCTTTCTAATAGAAGAGTTGTATGAGTGTCCCATAGCCTAGTGGTCTGTGGCAAATGGCATGATAGACTAACCTGCACTCTCTCCAGACATGAACAATGGTTGTGAAAGCACGGGAACTTATCATTAAGAAGTTGGTCAGCATATTGAGTTTATTACTACCACTATACTCTTATATGTAGTTGGCTTCAGGTCTGGATGTAATTGGAGGATCAATTTTAAAGTCCCATGTTATGGCTTGGGTGACTTGGTGTCTCAGTGCTCACTACATATTGTTATAGACTTTTTAATAAATCTGAAGGTGGTTTTCTTGATAACAGGCATCGTTGTGTATGAGTTTGATGATTATTTGCATATTAATTCAAAAGAGCTCAAAGGATGGTATAGATATGGGTTCTTGTAGAAAGAAAATCACTTGAGGGGAATCTACTTGTTAAGACAGAAGAGATGATGACAAGTAAAGGGAGAGTTTGTACTGCCTCTTTATTCTAGACAGTTTGTTACTTTATTGGAGAAGGTTTGTAAGAGTGGAATTGGGAAGTTGTGACAGTACGCTGTTGTGTGTGTACTTCTCTTAAAGTCATCTTTTTTTCTGTTTCAACAGGAACTCATAGATGTTGATGAAGAAGAATTGTGAGTTAATTTATGAAAAAAGACCTACTAGAATCCAGAAGTTACAGCATTTAATACAGTTGAAGTATGTAGTAACACCAACCTCTACTGTCAGTCCTCATCACCACTGTAGAGGAAGAACTTGTGGCAGAAAGTTTCACTGAACAGTTTTGTGATATATTTGCATGATTATCTGCTGCACCTTTATCCTACAAAATTCAAGTTTATTTAGCACAAAATTTTTATTTCTTCATAATGTATAAGATAATTATATTACACTGGATAAAGCCAGTAAATAGAACATATTGGCTAATTTGTTTTGTACTCTGATATGTGAAGCAGACTAACCTGTGTAAAGTCTGGTCTGTGTGGAGCCATATGGGGTTACCTTTAGCCCGTTGGTTCATACCATACGCTTACTGACTCACAAACAATTATTTATTTACTGTATTTATATTTTGGTGCAGTACTTATTATTTTTTTATTTCAATCTTGTGGTTCAGTTATTGTACAGTACAGTGTGACAGTATCTTCATCACCGACAGACTGGTGATGGCAGGAGGTTGTGTTTGTGTCGCCCCCACATCAAGATTCAGGTTCAATCTCTTATAATTCTATGGAAAATTGTTTTGTTTCTTTTTTATTTAGAAACGGTTAATATTTATTTCTGTTAATTTAAAGAGGAGTAAAACTATCACTGTATATTTTCATAACATGGAAGGAGGAAACATATACTGTATACTCAAGACTATTTTTATATTGCAGTTTGTATCATAATGCCAAATGTGGATATGTATTACTGGCAATACTGTAGTGCTGATAGTGACATGAAAATTTAAATTTTTATGCAATATGTTTCTTTTCAATTTAATCAGTAAATATTAAAGTAATGTTTATTTACCAAGTATGGCTCCTAAGTTGTTTTTAATTTTCAATTTTTATACATTATGAACAAAGAGATGCATTGCTTTACCAAGAATGCATATTTATTATCAGAATAATAGTCTCAGTAGGCAAGTTTTTACATGTTCATGTTATTTGAGCATACAATAGTTCAATAGTTTTCCCAAAGACTTCAAGATGTGGGGTAGGATTGAGGTCAAACCTTTTATGCAAGAAAAATTGTCAAAAATTGCCATGAGGCTCATAAAGGTGCAAATATGTTATGAATAAGACATTGCTGTAATATCATGACTATCCACTTGTATACCAATGTCTTTTGTAGCCATGTTAAGATGCTGTTGAACTTGATAATTATTGGAGATAGTTTTGTTAACCCTAATTATGGGGGGGGGGGGGCTGAGAATTCTCCATTCCATTTGCATTTTTTTCTTTCCAAAGCTTCTTCCATAAATGTATCCAAATGTAACGAAAATAGACAAATAAAATGCACAACTTACAATAATGTTCATCAAAAGCCTAAACATTGGTCTAAAATTTGTGTAGTGGAGTATGTCTGGGCGACTCTCTCTCTCTCTCTCTCTTCAATACAAATTCTTCCCCTGCCTCTGAATATTCTCCACCATCATCCACCTTCTAGCACTGGTTAATGCTACAGGAAGGTGGAGGGAGGGGAGCCTCAAACCTTCACCAACCATTGTCAAGGAACACCCATCTGCCATAGTACACTGGAGCATGAAACTGTCTTGTGGAAGTTCAGGGCAGTAGTGTCAAGGATATAATGACTAATAGTTAATTGAAAATTGTGGTCAAGGGGGAAAAATACACAATGAACAGAAATTATATAAGAAAATAAGTTAACTAGAATCTGATGGTGAACATACAAGTTAACTAGAGTCTGATAGTGAACATACAAGTTAACTAGAGTGATAGTGATCATACAAGTTAACTAGAGTGGTAGTGAACATACAACCTCCACCTTTAAATATAATGGCCTATTTGAACAGATATTTTGCTTAGTGGACCCGCCTTAAGAAGTTATTCATCTGTTATAAGAGATATGATGGTATGTTTAAGAGTTGCATAAGGTCAAGGAATCAGTGGACATATATAGAGTACAGTACTATATTAAGAGCTTGAATATAGGCTGCAGAAGGCCTGAAGGCAGACGGCTTACAACTTAAAAATACCGAGTAGCTTTTCCATTTAATCGAGTTAGTTTTCAATTTCCGAGAATAAGGTGGCAGTCTCTCCAAAAACGCCTGACCAATTATCGTATATGCTGGAGTACCTGTATAAGGCGACCCCCAAATATTTAATTTATAATTTAAGTTTTAGGCTCTACAGCACTTGTTATATAAGATAGGGTATTGGTGTAGGCTATAACTATAGGTCACCTAAAGGAAATTATATACAGTACAGTCTGGATTTACGCGGATTTTTTTACGCGTTTGGTCATTTACGTGGTGCCTTGCCAGAATGAAATGTTTTAATTACGTGGTAAATTTCATCATTTACGTGGGAAGCGGCGCGGGCATTGTGCGCATTAGGTCACTCTTACGTTATTGCTGACGTCATATGACGTATCGGACTGTGATTGGGCCACACATTCCCTCCGCCGCTAGCTGTAATTGGTCTAATGTAACATGACGTGCCGGGCTAGTGTCATTGTTCTCAGTCCGCGTATACATTTCTCTCTTGTGCCCGCTATTCCCCTCACAATGGCTTCCGCTGGACCCCACCACCCAAGAAAAACCTTGAATTACCTGGACCAAGCCATGGTTATGTGAAGGAAATCATCGAGTTGGGGGAGAAAATCAAGCTCGTCCTTGACAAAGACCCAGTCAATCATCGGTATGAAGTGTCTAATAACCTTCTGTCGAAAATTATGGAGCTGTATGTCCAGATCTATCACGACAACATCAATGCTAGTCGTCAACGAAGTATTAAGGACTTCTTCGCCTGCAACCCCACCACAACCACAGCCAGCCCAAGTCATTGATAGTGACAGTGAGGATATGGACATTGAGGGGTTTGTCAGGGAGGCCCTGCAAACCTCTGCGAGTAGTGAAAGTGATTCACCGGAGGGCAACTAATCTGCCCTCTGCCTCGGAACCAGCCGCCATCCACGTGTGCCGACCCATCTCTTCTACTAACGTAAGTGTTAAACACCTTTAGATTTGTAGTTTTTTATTTAGATATTATGTGTGTAGCAATACCATCATAAAAGTATGATGTTATTTTTACTACAAGGTACGTATTGTGTCGGAAAAAGTGGAGTTTGGGAGTTGGCCCAGTCTCTATTTCAATTAATCCCATATGTTCTGTTATTTCATTTACACGTTTCTCGTTTTACACGGACCTCCACGGGTTCAATTGACCGCGTAAATGCAGACTATACTGTACTGGTACAAAAGAAAATATCTTAGGTAATTAAAGAATAAAGCCAATTGGTTAAAGTAATAACAGTTTTCCTATTCAAATTTTTTTTAAAGAAAGGTAAAGATGCCACACTGAAGTGACAGTCACCCACCTACTTCTCACTACCACTCAAAACTGTTTATACAACAGTACTGTAGTGGATTTCTCCCCTACAAACGCTGTTTGTCGCTGCGTAGCCGACCCCGCGAATTCCACAGTGTGTGCCTCGTGGTCTAGGTCAACCAGCGCCGCCATACATCACAGAGCGGGGGTCAACTACTAAGCCACGCCTACCCCCGCTATTTAAGACCTGACCTCGTGGTGACCTCTCTCTTTCTACCTACACCAACCAGCCAGCAACACCTCCTCCTCCTCCGCCTGCCTGGCGGCCCTCTCTCCCGCCGGCGAGCATGGCAACCCACAAGCTGGTCCTCCTCTGAGCACCCTCACCACCCAGCTCTCTCTACATCACGCTTGTAACCACGCTGCCTTCCCAGCACCAAGCTGCATTGTACATCCAATACAACATGTATACAGAGAGCACATTGTGAGTTTCCTTTCTCCATCCCATCCTGAGTGTGAACCAAACATCCCATCAAAAACCCCCCACAGTACACTACTTTTATTGATAAGACATTCTCTTGTTGGTTTGATTTACTGACCGTCGAGACATTCTAAATATGATAATAAACCACCCTGTGGACGCCTGTGCATATGTGCACAATTAAGCATCACAAATAAGCTAACATTCTACCTCCATCTGGTACTGTTATTTTACAAATCAAATTAAGGTGTACTGTATACATAAGTTATTAATGTTGTCTAGCTATTATATTATTGTTGCCACCAAACGAATCTCGTGAATATTATTGTTATTGTTATTATTATTGTTAGGCATTTGATTAAAGTAATACTCGGTTGGTACTACGGTAACACTTTAAACTCACTTTAAATCTTTTAGTTCCCGCATTTAATCTCATTCATGAAGCTTTATTTACGTCCATTTTCTATTTTGAGATAAAAGAAAACGTAACATTTTTATGGGATGACGACTTTATTTATGATATATTGTAGCAATTATTTTATTTTATTTCTTTTATCCTCTTCGCAATTGATCGGCCTGTTAGGCGCTTGGGAGGTTGTTCAGGTCTCTTTTAGGCACTGCTGGCACTGTAGGCCTGTACCACAAGTGAACAAGGACTGTGGTAAAGAACACTTGTAGTTATCCAGGTGTTGCCAGGGCATCCCTTTTAACCTCCTTGCACCCATAACGTCCAGGCTGTTGGTTCCCCCTTGTGTGACCTTATTACGTACAGTAGCTACAACTCCTTCAATATTGCTCTAATTAATTATAAACAAATAAACCTTAACGAAAGAAAGGGTTTTCGCATATGCCGCATCTAATGAGCGCTATCACAACGAGTTTCCATGGCTGGTTTAGATTTGGAATTTGACGAAAAAAGCAGATTTCGAAAGATCGTTGGATTCACATTATGTTTATCTATCTATCTATCTATCTATCTATCTATCTATCTATTACTAATCAGCGGTAACCACCCAGTAAGGTACGGTAACTACCATTATTGTAGTTGGTGAAGTAATTCGTCCACATTTTTCCACGTAAGGTTTTTTTTGAGTTAAAGGTTTAATTAATTTGTAAAGTATTATATTAATCATATTATTGTTAGTAATATTAAAGTATTTTTTATGATATAATTGAATAAATCAGTAATGTTGGCAGCCGTGATTGGTCAACACAAGGCTGTCTCCCAAACTGAAAGATTTGGATTCCAGTGTTGTATTCGTCTTTCTATTTTTCCGTAAAGTTTTCCTTGTTGTTACTTTTCTATATTGCGATATAAATTAATTTACATTAAAATATGTATTAAAATTTTTATATACGATAAAGGTTGGATGTATTTTGTTATAATTCCTCATTTGATATTTTTTTTGGCAGGAGGACGGACTATAGCGAGGTGACTGGTGACTTGGCCCAGGGAGGACAGTGCACGTCGGGACACAGGGTGGGGAGGTGCTGCCGGTCGTCTCTCTTAGCTGACCGACTCGGGTCTTTAAATGTATGGTAAGTTTTTATTTAGTTTATTTCGGTGGTTAAATTTATACTTGTGTAAACTTGGATATATTAAGGCCATAAGTTTGTTGATTTTGTACTAAATGGGGTTTATTTTAAAAGGACTTGTAGAAAATATTGTAGATTCTCAAGCAACGGTCGTTAATGCTCGTAATGACATTGACTAGTTATTATAGAGAATAATTTACTATTTTTGGCTTGTATTTAAATTGATATGGCTTAGTTTTGGTCACCGTAAAGACTTTGTAAATATTTAAGTAACGTTTTATTTAATTTACTATCATACTTGTTAATCTTAAGCTGTTTTCATTTCCTTACAGATGATGGATCCAATTGGTTGTTACTGCTGTTAAAGGCCAGTTTGCTGCATCAGTGGTCGTCAGCGTGGGTAGTACAGCACCTCGTCAGCGTGGATAGTACAGCACCTTCTTATTTACTGGGGTTAGTAAGTTTGCTGTATACGTTAAGTCTGCTTCACTTAACTTTGCCACTGGGGTCTAGAGGCGGTCGATCGCATCTGGACATTGTTGGCAAGTATTGGGCATGTAATGGCTCTGTTACACCCTGTTGGCAAGTACTGGGAATGTACCGTTACACAGTTGGCAAGTACTGGGGATGTACTGTGTTACACCCTGTTGGCACGTACTGGGAATGTACTAGCTCTTACTGTTGACAAGTACTGTACATGTACTGGCTGTTACTGTTCTGTAGTCACTAAACAGCTCACACTCGGTGCCGTCACAAGAGATTGTTCCAACAGTTCACAACTGGCTACAAAAAAAAGCCTTAAAGTTTTCTGGACTTGTGGCATCAACCATAAGCTGTGGCCTCTGGTGGGGCGGGCGTCTGCTAATTACGAACACTAGACTAAGTAATGCCCTGTTACATGTTTATAAACTTGTATTAAGTCATCCCTTGCCTGCCTATAGACTGGACTATGGCATAAACTAATTGGCTTTCCCTTACACAATATGGCAATCACTCGCAGTACTGTTATTATTCATGCACGTCATCTGTTTCAATTTAGGACCTGTATGTCATTGTCCAGTCATTGGGGAACGTTTTGCTTGTTTATGCATCTACAACACGATTTAATGAGCTCGGGAAGCTCATTGCACATCTATTCAACACTTAAAGCTCCCCATCAGGGCGCTTATTTACCTTTATGGTATTATTGCAGTTTGGACCAATATTCGGAAGTGTTTTAACCATCACCCTTTACATCTCCTTATTTGAAGTATTTATATAGATTTCAACCTGGGGGCAAAGAATGTTAGAAATGAATGAGTTTTCCATACTTTTGGGGGATAACTCGCGGTTACTTTCCCCCAGAATTAAAGGTCAAATTAGATTAAATCACACCAAAATAGACAGGATAAACGGTCATTTTTAGTCGTGCACCGGTCTTTCGATCGCTGTTATTAATGTTTGTCTTAATGTTTAGACAGTTCTCTTATTTTTCTTCTATATTTCAGCCGGATATTAAGGATAATATATCTAATTTTTCAATGTTACAATTCCTCAAGACGCAAATGTTGCCAGGACTTGTTTACATCTGGCACCGATCTTTCTTTTGATATTATAAATATTTTTCATATGGTATTTAACGAAATTCGAACGAATTTTGTATTCATTTCCGCCGGAAATCACTAGTTTCTTATCCCCCCTAATCTTAACGGAAGAAGTTTAATTTTTTCTCATTAATCCCAAATGAATTGCCAACCAACAAAACCTACACCCCCATATTTTGGAAAAAAAACTATTGACCAATAAGAAGTCTCCCATCCCTATAGCCTCCCCCGCACATGGGTGGTAGAGGCTAAGACCTTCGCCCGAGGTAAACAAATGATGACACTTGTGACTGAGGAACTCTAATAATATTGAAAAATTAATATCTTGGTTATCCTTAATTTCCGGCGGAAATTCATAGAAGAAAAAGGTCTTGGAATTGTCTAAACATTATTAAATACATAATAAAAACAGCGAGACTGGTGTAAGAATAAAATTACACCGGATAACCTACGAGGCCATATTGGCCGAAAATGCAATTTTACCAACTTTAGTTTTGTTAATTTTTTTAATGCTTGACTGATAACAGGTCAGTGTTGTCACTCCTCAAGCACATGGAGGTTTGCATCCTCTTGTGACCACTATTTAACGTCTGTCTTGCCCTGATCTAAGTGTGTAACTATGATCTTAGTCTTTGGTCTGATGTGCCCACATGTAGAAAGCTTTTGAGGCTTTGACTTGACTTCATTTGGAATCAGACTGGCTCTTGCAGTCATTCTACAATCTGAATGGTCTTTGTATTCCTAGAGTCAGTGTGTTTGATCTGGAGTATACAGTATTTTTATCAAACTGTTTACTGACTATGATATTTAGCATAGTGTCTGCATTGCGGTTTGTGTAATTTCATTCTTCCAGTCAGTCGCCAGTTATCCATAATGCTGTGTTGTGTATTAATGTCTGTAAACTGGCTTGGCTTAATAAACTGCAGTTCTGTGATCTATAAATACATCCAACGAGGATTGTCTCTTGCCTTTAGTTTAATTTTCCACTATTTATATCCAATCCTTCTTCCCCTAAGTACCTTCACCTGGCTAGCTCTGTCCTATCCAGCAGAAGTACAGTAACTGGATCCCTCTTAAGTTACACAAATAACCTTGGCATTATTAACTTACCTGCATCTATAGTTCTCAATTTGTCCAATACGTTGTTCCCAGTACAGGTAACTACTGTACACACTTTTTTTCTATATAAACTTTATACCTAGTGAAGAATTAACTTTAATAAATGGTGGAATTTAAAGGTTTTTAAATATTAAACTTTACAAGGAACTTTATATTAAGAATTTCAAATGTTCTGGGTTGACGACCTGTTGATGTTTGTAGTCATTGGATTAGTCTGACTCATAATTGTAAATGATAGTTTCTTAAAATTTTAACTTGTCATTATTTTGTTTTTTAATGTTGTGGCACTCAAGAAATTAATGGAGAAAAGTGTTACTATGCTATACTCTTGCTAACAACTCTTGAATGTAATAAAACCTTTTCTTTCACTAATGGCTACCTTGCATAATGTTCATCAATAATCAAGTACTATAAAACATACTGGGGGCAGTTAACCAGTATAATCTGGGGATGACTACATAATGCTTGTAATACTGTATCCAAGGTTACCAATGATCTTACTACAGTAATAGTTAGGGCCAGTTGCAAGAACAGTTGTAGGGTGTACGACGCCGTTTACGATGACCTTCTTGCCCTGATCTGGTTTCAGGAATACCACCCTTTTGAAGCTCTGGAGAGTTCTCGAAGTTTCCTAATTTTGAGTACAGCACTAGCTAATAATTCCCACTAGGAAACTTGTTTCGAGACTCCTCCAAAGCTTCGAAAAGTGCAGAATTCCATGTGTTAAAGGTGATATTGCTGAAAAAGACCAGGGCAAGAAGGTCATCGTAAATGGCGTCGTACACCCCACAACCGTTCTTGCAATTGGCCCTTAGAGCTACAGTAAAAGTAAGGTTGCATAACATTGCTTTTTTCTCCACTATCATGTTAAGTTATGCAGTGTAATGCTTCGTTTATTCAGTAAACTAGTTAACAGGTGTCCCTTATATACAACCGTTTTATTCCTGGTAAGGTGTTCATTAAGTGGAAGTAATTTATATATTGGGGGTTATGTTCCTGTGAGGGAAAAATCTTTACATTCATATACAGATAAGTGTTGACAAAATGGGACTTACTCCTTGTCTGCTAATGTGTAGTGTAGACATTTGTTGAAACTATTGTTTATCAGGCATATGTATTGTATATTGGGGGATACCTGCATTAATGTACTGTGCTGTATAATAGTAGTGTACTGTAGGTATACTATTTGTTTATTTGTACAGTTGTAACAATTATTCATTCCAGGATGATGACTTAAAGATGGAGGATCCAACAAATGACCTAAGAGTTTTCTGGTGAACCGACTTGCTGCACTGCTCCAGTCCAGGGTAACTCATTGTGGTTTCTTCACTAAACTTGACAAGAGTACTGTACTGTAATTGTAACCCATGGACTGCCGTGTCTAGTTAACTCTTTTAAGTACATGTATCAATCAAGTATTATTACTGTACAATATTAGGGATGCACCAATTAATTGATAAATTACAAATATCCATATTTTGTGGAATAATCTGTACAGGTATTGGTAAACAAAGTATTAGCTGATGCCATTTTGCGGTCTATTTTGGGTTGAGAAATTAATCTAACATTTTTATTACCAGCAAAATACAGTAATTACGGAAACCAGTTAGTCTGTTCACTTATTATGGTAATGTCACTCTCGGATGCCGATCATTGTCTTGTAGTTGTGATGGATAACATGGCAGTGTCTGTGCAGGTCTTTGTACAACACTTCATTATACAGTACCGGTAATAAATATATTATCATGCCAGACAAAGTAGCTCTTATTTATTCTGAAGAGAAAAATAATCCGGTAAAGACTGTCGCTGACGAGGAAGCCTTGTTAAAGCACATTACTTATTTTATTTACCAATATACTATACTACAGTAGACTTAAATCCTGCAAAAATTATGAAATATAAAACCCAGCTGTTCTTAATATTGCAGCTTCAAGATTTCTGTAATACTATTACCCACTAAAGTTGATGTATTTGTGGACGGGTTTCTTTACCACCAGAGGAAATTGTTTCATTTAAATACTGTACTGTATTTGGCCGATACTTTGTTTATAGTCTGGCTTTGGTGGCGAGACTATATAGTGACTTAACTGCTTTTT